AAATTATTAGTAGTGATTAATTTTAGTATTAATTTACAATCTATTCATGATTACATTATTGAATTGGAAAAATGAAAATATAATTTGAATTAAGAGTTAATCACAAATTGGTTTTATAAGAACATTTTCTTAAATAAACTTTTCTTCAACTATCGAAATAACTTTTAAAGTATATTATTTTCAAGTGATAAAAGTAATTTGCATGTTATTACTGAAAATACTATTACCGAAGAATACAGTACCAAATATACTACTTAATTTAGCGGGATTTTCCAAGATATTTAAAAAATGTAAAGGAATGCCCACCGGAATAAATACGATTGTCCGACAAGTGAATACATTCCAATACGAGACTGTACCTGACTACCATCTGATGAAGAACATTTTCCGTAATGCAATTATACAAGGCAATTACAAGGTTTTTATTATTAGTATTACTCAGCAAAAATTTATTTACTATTTTTTCGAGTGAATATTTTTATCGAAAATGTTGCCTTACCTCTGACCTAGGCTACTTCTTAATCATGAAAAATACTAACTATTTGATATTTTGATATTTAGCATGTTTTTTTTTCTCAATTCCAAATTAGCTTGAAGTAAATTTGCTTTATGACGAACTTAATTATCACAATTTTGTTATTAAACATATTGGCAATACCAAGGTGTTATGTAGTGAACTTACTTATAACTTTTTAGGTCAAAGGTGAGATTACTTTTTTGATCGAAATATTTATTGAACTAAATATTGTAATATTTTGAAGTCATTTTTAGAAATATACATCATTCGTTTTTTACAAATATAAACAGACTTTTGTCATAGCAGATTTTGCTTTCTTTTGCATGAAATATTGTACAGTAATTCAACTTTGAGATTTTTTTCCCACTTCACCAATAGCATTAATCTTTGCTTTCCTTCAATAAGTGTGCTATTTACTAGCATATTTAGAATACTTTTTGGCAGTTCAAAAATTTGCAGTCAGAAAAATTAGATTGGCTAAAGAACAAGGAAGGATTAGTAAAGGCCGGCGCGTGTGAATCTAAAATATTTGGTGACAAATCAGAAAGGTCAGAAAAGGAAGTTAGCAGAAGTGAACGATCTGAAACTGACGAATACGAATTAAGACCTAAAATTGGTGATGAACAACGATCAGTCTTCTTGATGCCAAATGTAAAAAAAGCATCAAAGAAAGGTAAATATGCTTATACCGGTGGAATTTTACGTAATAATTTTAAAAGAGAAAGCCACTGAAATCATGTGAATTATGACCCTTTTTATCAATATAATTTATAGATACTACTTTAATAATTAAGATTCGATGTGAGAAAAAGTTTT